GAAAACTGCCTTCTCACTCTCAAAGAGATAAACCTAGAGTTGAGGCGACGTATGCCGCGTAAACCACAAATACATGACCGCACAGTAGCAAGAACACTCGAAGGAATGTTGTACAGAGTAAAACTTGCCAGACCACTCCCTGCCGAACGAAACCGGCCCGACGTACTTCAGAAGAGAGTTGACTACGCCCACTGGTTTATGCGTCATGCAGTAGGGAACCACCCTGTTTTTGTAGATGAGTGTGGCTACAATATTTGGACAGCGAGAAGTCAAGGACGAGCTAGGACTGGAGACAGAGCTTACCGACAAGTGTGTGGTCAACGAAGGGAGAAATGTGACCGTGGCACTAGCCATTTCCCCAACAACTGGACTAGTGTTCCACTCTGCAGTTCTCGGGGGAATGAATGGCCAAAGATTCAATGATTTTCTTGCACAGACCAGGCTAAATCTCGACCCTGACGAGCACGTAATTTTCATTTACGACGGCGCACCAGCCCACAGAAATCCTGTGAATCCAGGTCCCAACACCGAACTAAAGAAATTGCCACCATACAGTCCTTTCTTGAATATCGTGGAGCAGGCAATAAGTGCCTTGAAGGCAGCAATTAAAGCGGACATAAGTCGCCCGCAGATACAGGAAGAAATTAACAATAGAGCCGAAGCAAGAAGACAAGGCATTGCACTGGGAAACATGCGCACYCAATTGCTATTACGAGCGCTTGAAAGAAATATCGGCAGCATCACTGTGGCTAAATGTGGACAGTGGTATCGGTTCATGCAGACATACTTTCCAAGATGCATAAATAAAGAACATATAGAAGGATAGCTAGGCAACAATAGATATTAAGAAAAGAATAAAGTAAACCAATATGTTAAATGATTAAGAGCGACTGTCCAGAAATATCGAGCATAGGCCGGCCACAGTGAAAAATTCAAATTCCTTGAAACTTAGTTTCTGGAGACCTTTCTGTGAGCCTACTAACGTGGTCTAATCGGTATTTTGATCTACGTTGAAAAATTTGAGTTTTTGAGCAAAATTGGTTTTACCCTGATTTGGTCTAAAATTAGCATATGAGACCGCTAAAACTTGCAACTTTTTGAAAGTTATTTCTTCAATCAATTTAAATATTTTTGCGCAATTTTTTTACAGAATCCGAAAGAATACATCCTAAGGAGTTGCCCGGAATCGGTTTTGGCTTTTCAATGTATTTTTAACGGGGAGGAAAAATGACTTTTTCTTGGCCGGTTTTCAAAGCTTGATTTGAGTTGAAATTTCCGAACACATTTTTCTCCATGTGGCCATTCTCCAATTTTTACGAAACTCACCCTGAATGAGGTTGAAATATCAATATAAACCGAGGTAGAAAAATATTTCTGGGTTTTTACACTGGTAGTGCGTTAGCAGCGATCAAATATCACGATTTTTTGACTTGCAATATGCAAATTAGCAGTTTGTTTACATTTACTCAGATAGATCTTTCGAATGAAATTTTTTCTCAAACATCGAAACCAAGCAAATATATCATTTGATCGAATTAAATGAAGTAATTAGACACTTTCAAACAATAAAGGCGATTGTATCTTGACCTTTAGCCCCATATTTCCTTCTGACGGTTTCTGTGACGATCATTCCAATAGTTGGCCACTCAAAAATTCTCGAAATTAAACTATATTATTGTTTTACAAGATTGCCATAGAAAAATACAGCTTTTTAAAGCAGTAAATATCATAATAAGTAAAAGCGCAAACGTTATAAAGGAATTGAAGTCAGTTTTTTATTATTATTATTTATAAGCGGTACTTTAGTTTTGCTGGAATACAAAGTGCTCTAAGGGACCAGTAATATATTAGAAGGGAGGGATGGGAATGGGATTTTGACAAAAAAATAGATTGGAAAATGGGATCAGACAGCCCTCCCCTCTACTGAGGAGCTTCACAAAATTATGTAAAGATTTTTAAGGGTTCCTTTTCTTAGTTCATCCCATTCATCCCGTTCAGGTTCTTCTAGTGTTAAGTATGAAATCAGTCAACTATTGACCATATGAAAAACGAGCAGAAGACTGAGAATGAGCACATTAAATGTTTTTTTT